GCTGGCAGCTCTGCACAGTACTCCATGACTCTTCAATATTTTTTTCTTTCTCTACAAGAAAAAAGAGTAATCAGCATGTTGTTGTTATTTCTCTCTCCCTCTCTCTTTCTCTCTCTCATATACTAGTGCTTCTTAAAAGACTGGGTCAATGTAATATGCTTTTAAATGCATGGCAGTAATACTGCTGCTGGATCATTGTTTTCATCAATGTAGCAACGACAACTGCTTTAAACCAGAAGCATACTAGGATAAACAGCCACATGAGCGGCAGAGTGAATGTAAAATAACTCACACTCACTGCTGCAGTGTATAAAACTGTGTTTTTTTTTTTATTGTTTGCAAATATTTATGTACAAGCAAAATTTTTACAACTTCAGACAGTGCTCAAAATTTTAGTTTACTCTATTATCTTAAGTTGTAAAAATCTAATATTGAACTCTAAGCCTTCTAGTGGAAGGCAGGACTCCTGTTGCTAAACCACTCCAGCTACAAAAGTATTATAAACCACAGATATTTGTGGGTTGTTTTTTTTCTGACTATGTCTCGTCAGAATGTTGGGTGCACATTTAGCACCTCATTCCAAGCACTAGGCACTTTATCTTGAAATTTGTTGAAATGGAGAGCGAACCTATGACTGATTGGTGGTTCTAGGAAATATTTTCAAAATAATTACTTTGAAAAACAATTGTTGTGCTGAAGAACAATTTTGCTAAATTGTAATATGCCATAATTCGTATTTCCACGTCACCCTACCAAAAATTGCAATTGGTATATCTCTAGGTTGCCTCTCTAGGTATAATGAAATCCTACTTGACAGATCTCACAATATTTAAACATGCCGTTTTTCCTGAGGTGAAGGCTATCTCATTTGACAGATCTCACAATATTTAAACATGCTGTTTTTCCTGAAGTGTTTGCAAGTTTCTTTAAGCAAATCCTAAAATTTTGGAAAATATATAACCAATATTAATCAATGATAACTCGTGATCTTTTCATGTTCTTCACAAGTGGATAATTTACTGCTATGTTACGTTAAGCACAATTAGTTTTGATAAACCTGTATTGTGTTCTTAAAACAAATTTGGAATTGATAACTATATATGTCATCATACATGCTCTTTGTGCAAAACTATCCTGTCTTGGCTACATTAAAGAAAACATAACCCATTCCCCTAAATGATCTGATTCCCCCTGATCATTGATCAAGAATATAACATTTTAAGGCTCACTCACATCTGACTTACACTCCTCAAATGAAACTGGAGCATAAGCTCTGCAGCTGGAGACAGGTTTTAGGGAACCACTTGGGTGGAGAGAATGTGTGTCAGTGAGATATTTTCTAACAACTGTGTGGGTAAAGAGATGGCCACAGGCTTTCAGAACCAATGTGTTGTCAGAGCATGTGCGGGTGTTTATGTTGATAATGTTCTATGCGCTGCTACTCCTCCATTTCAATATTCATAGAGCTCTGGTTTTTTTTTTCTTCACCGCAACCATGGCAACAGAAAATGACAAATGGCAGACCTGTGGAAATACTGCGCCTGAGAACACGACTGAATTGTAAAGCAGGCTTTCAGATAGATAATCAAATCACAGTGTCACTAAAAAAACTGCCTGGACCTCACTCACTTTACAATGCCATTGGTAAAATTATTGTCTTGAATGAATACAACATTATTTTTTTCTTTTCTCCCTTTTTTGGGGTAAATACAGGAAGCATGCACACAGGTCAAATAGAGGTCACAGCTTTCTGTGAGATGGTAATATGCTTATTACGCTGATTCAACAATTGACATTTTTTGTATTTTTTTGTTTTTTCAGCCTTGTTGCAATTCTGTCTCTATCAGAAGTATGTTGTTTTGAAGTCTTAATTCATATATTAATTCATATCATAAAGAATGACAGACAGACAGATAGACAGATAGATAGATAGATAGATAGATTAATACTTTATTGATCCCAAATGGAAATCAAGATGGTTAACAGAGATGGCTAATTGGCAGTTTTTATTCATATATGTCTCTGTGGTATATTCTGCCTAACGTCTGTTCTGCTCAAAACCTTAACCGGAACTTGTAAGAATGTAGTGTCTTTCTTAAACGATCTTGGTCTGTGCCGTTGTGCTCATGTTGACACACAAGCCAGTGCATGGAGAGAAACACGACATAGCAGTGTAATCTGCTCAGAATCAGAATATAGTGACTGTTTTAGAATAGGGATGTGATTAGTCATTATTTATATTTCATCTAATTAGGCCCAATTGATTTGCAAGGCATTGTGGATTATGCATTATGAATATCCCTTTTAAGTAGTTACAGCAGTATGGAACCTTTTGTGTTCCAGATTGATTAAATGTACCTATTAATTGTGCTGCAAATCTAAACTGAAGATGTGTAAAACTGCATTGTAGTGCGATGGGCAACTTAAAGAAAGGTGTTTGAAAATTAGAGGGTTTTATTTTTTCAGTCCACAGAGATTGTTACCCTGACAACAGCAGAAGATTCATAGCGAAGGGGGAACTGAGCAAGCGAGTGTGAGCTGAGCTCGCTGTGCTGAACAAACAAGCACTGTCACTAACTATGTCACGAGCTGTGCGGATGCTGTTGGCGGCTTATTGCAGTTCTTGTTCCTTCTCTCTTTCTTCTTTCTTCAGTTTGATGTTGGAGAATTAAGCATGCAGTTGAAATAGATTGAGCCATTGTTCTTGAGTTTATATTTATACATTAATCTGATGCCTGCATCCAATTTGTCCCTAGTTTTTATCTCATTTTTCAATGTGCTTCTTTTATGATGTTTTATATCACTTTATACCACTTTCCCTTAAGATACGCTGTCTGATCATAATGTGATTGTTGTTAAGGTTCTCTAAAAAAACCACAGTCCTGTCATGGTTCTTTCTGTGATGGTCATTAACACTAAAAATGTAATGGCTCACTACATCACCTTACTTTGAAGACCAGTTTATATTAATAATGTAGATGTTTTTGAAAGAAGATGTTTTGGTGTGCATCTAATGCCTGAGCTCTACTTGTCCCCATGGCCCATCTCCTTCTGCCTTCCCATCCTCTCCAGTGTCAGGTTTCACATCCACTATTTGTGCATTGAAGAGCAGATGACTAAATGTGATTAGGAAGGATACGACAATAGGCCCTGATACCATATGCTTTAGTAAAGAGCAGGCCAAACCTGGGCTGCTATATTGAGCTGCTGTTGCATGTTATTCATCTGGTATAGGGCTTCAACTTGATATGGGGTCTGTCATTAACGTCACTGGCCGGTAATGGATAACATTGGCAATAGATCCTCTATGTTGAAGATAATTATTCACGACCACATAAATGTAGACATTGTTATATTCTTAGTATATCCAAGACTCATCATCATCATCATGCTCCAGGAAATATTTTAATCAAAAGCCTCAACCATTTTGTTATTGTTGTTTTCCCCAATGTAGTTTGATACATTGAAGTTCTATGTCCGGTGGAGGAGGCGAATAAACAAATCACATAGAGCACAGGAGGAGCGTTGTCTTGCATGAAGTAACAGAGGAGCACAGTTAACTTTGTGTTGCAGTTGAAAATGGATGTCTAGTCTATAGAGACAGTCAAGATGCAGCTTTATACCACAAGTTATCCATATGTTTGTACACTACATATGTAGTACTTGCTTTGTCTTGTAGCTTAAATTGATTTAGCTGTGAAGTAGGGCTCTGTGATTATTTTGGCTTTGTGAAGTAGGGCTCTGTGATTATTTTGGCAAGCTTTCCACGATTTTGAAAATAAGATAATCAATCAATCAATCAAGTGGTTTAAGTTAAACACATACCAATCATACTATCTGTTTGTTTAGATTGAACTGCAGTTTGAGTACACCGCCACTTAGTTTTTGATACATATTTTCATTTATTATTTAGATTTATATTGGCACTTCCATGAGAATTTATTTTTTTCACTTGGTTCATTTGGCGCCAAAACCTACTGACTGCTCAGAGCAGAATTTAATCATACATTTACTGCATAATCTAAGCCAACTAGCTCCTAATCACAAAACAGAACATAATGCGCATGTGGTGCATACAAGGCACCCAGGGAAATGCAGTATATAACAGAATATAGAAAAGTCATTACAGGAACATTATTGGCAATAATACACGAGATAACTACACATCACATGTGCAAGTTACAATGTTATTTATATTTTTTCACTTTGTTTTAATTTGTTTTTTGTGCTGGTGGGCTAGTAAGAGACTACACAGAGTACAGCTGCAAGAATGGGGATGATGAAATACTTTTATGATTTTAATTTGTTATGGTCTCTGTCCAAACAAATAAGTAATAAGCATTTGATGCATATAATTTTGTGGGATACACAGGATTTGTTTTTTTTCTATGTGTTTTTAGTACTAAAAGCTTGTATAAACAGTTAGTGTCTTCAGTCTCTGTGTGAAACCTCAAAACCAGTTTGGTGAAACAAATGTTTCAAACTGGGAGATGGTTAGGGGAGACCAGTAGTCATTGGAATGTTACGAGTTTAGCCTGTCAATGGACCCCCGTTAAATACCCTGCTGGGTCTCGCCTTCTAAATCCTGATAAATCCTCGTCCTCGTAGTTGGGAAGGGATTGGGGGAAGGGCTGGGCTTTGTCAGGGTATGTTGTAATGTTTGGTTGGCAACAGCCTCTTTGCTGTTACAGTGCCCCCATGTAAAATGAGCTTCATAGTTTTTCAGTTTACATGACATTACTTGTTTATGTAAAATCATGTACTGCATGTGTTTGTGATGATTGTCTTTCTGTGCGTTTATTCATTTTATTTGACTTTGGTGTTAATGTGCTGGGTAAATATAAACAAAATGGGTATGTGCATATTGAAGAGAAAGTCCTCACGGAAACCTGCTTATTCTTTAACTCAACTCAGAAAATGTATTTGCAGCCCAGTCAATGATGACAGCGAGTTCCAGAGTGGATGTACAAATAATAATTATTGTTACTTTTGTCTTTCAGGATTTTCTGGCAACTGTTGTTTTCAAGTTGGTTTTATCCCACTGAGATTCTCCCACAGCCATGGAATCGGTATGTAACAAGGCCTCTACATATGTCTTTTTGCAACATCCTCCTGGAACTGATGCCTTTGAGAGTTTATGCCACAAAAGGGACACAATTTGTTTCCGTAAGGAAACTATAGGTGGTTCTATTATTATAAAAGTGATTTGATATTAAGCGTGTGATTGTAAGACTCCAAAAGAGTCCAAACATTTCTTGAATTGTTGGAGCTGATGTACTGTGATATAGGTAAAAAAAATGTTGATTGTGGTCAGATTTGTTTAACAGGGCTTTTAGAGGTTTGTTTCAATTATATGGTAGCTGTAAAGAAATGAATGCATTTTCATAGATTTGCTTAACCATTTGCGTGACTTGACTTGTATACATTGATGCACTTAACAGAATGATGTGGTCACAAACTACAAGACTGAAAGACATAATGTCTTCGTAATCCCGAAACATACAATCAGCATGTAAAATTAACTTGTCTTAACATGTATTTGAAAAGTCCATCTTCACATGACTGACATACTCTATGCCTATTGGTAGTCATGTGAAAGACTGTTTGTTCAGACAGCAGAATGGAGCTCTATCTGCTGGTATGCATGTTTAAAGAACAGGGCTTAGAGCATGTCTAACCTTTACTCTTCACATTGTAGTTGAGTAAAAACTAGGTCATTGCTTTGGTAGTGCATCACTAGCATATGTCCAACAGAAGCCTTTGCCTTTCCTGTGTCCAAATCATATGCACAGCATACATGTCTGTTATGCAAATTATACATAGTGCTTTAATCATTGTCCAATTGATAAAGGCATCCAAACCAATGAAAATTTCCCAAGGAGAAGTATTCCTTATGAGGGCTGCAAAGCTAGAAAATATGGGAAAAAAACAGCAGCCTGTTGATAAATGTCTACTGTGCACTGACCGGCAGTCTTCCCACCTCTTTCACTGCACAATTTTCATCTCTCAGCCTCTGAGTCTCTTTCTTTCCTCCCACCTATATTCTGCGTCTGTGTGCCTGTAGCTGTGCAGCAGTAAGTGCTGCTGTTGTTTACCTCTCTGAGCTGCTAGTATCTGCTTACTGTCAGTGGAAACCAAGGAAACCGATCAAAAAGCTTTTTGTGGTGCCAAGAGTGAAATACATGTGTATTGTAGTTTTGTTTATGAGGGCTGAAGATGCACACAGGCAAACACATATCCTAACTTGAATTTATTTTCCAAATGATTCAGTTAGTGGGAGATTCTAATACATGGGTTAAAAAACTCAGAGAGTCAGTTAAAGGTTTTTTGTGTTTATTTTTTGTCTTTAAATGGAAGAGGTGCAATCATGTTAAACTGACCTCCAGAGTAGACAGATTTACAAATGTCTGCACCATGATCCCAGTACAAATGCACAAACATGTAGAGTCGTTGTTTGTATGCATTGTATATAAGAATTGTAAATAAGAAACTGCTATATCCTACACTTCGTCTATATGGTAGGCAGAATCAACATAGGGTCTGGTGATTTGAATCTGAGGCAAAGTTTCTGCATTTAATTTGCCATGGGAATTGTTAGATTAATTCTTTCATAGCTCTGCTTTTAGAGCACTTGTAAAACCTTGCCTGATTCTGAGTTGCAATTCATGTGTGCCTCGGCTCTAAACAGAGAAGTGAGCCCTGCTAGCAACATTACATAACTAACCCCCTCTAGCTCTGCTCGGTCTGCCCCGTCTGCAGAGGCGACTATGAAGGCTTTGTTTTTCCAACCATCCCTTCCTTCTCCCCTCTGTTGCTCCTCCTCTACCCCTGAAGCAAGCTGCATACTGATGCCATAAAGAACGAGTCAGTGTGCATGGAACAGGCGAGGTACTGTGGGATTCAGTGCAGAGGAACATGCTAATGTCAAGATAAATGGCATGGAATTTGAGTACTGCCATAGGTCATGTAGTTTCATGGAGGTATAAAGCAGAGCTATGCTGCAATTTTCTTTAGTTGTTCCCGGAACTCCCTCTTTGGTTCGTCCTGTATTGTGTACAGGAACTCGATGGTATTTTACAAAGGCATCTTGCACACTGGTCCAAATTGTGTAATGTTGACAGGTTATGAGTTGGTTTGTAGGTTTTGTGCAGCACATGCTTGCACGCACATGCCTACACATCCCCACCTGGCAGTCGGCCACTGTCGAATGGGAGTGGGCGGCAAATGTGCTCTGGGTAATGGAGGTTCAGACCACTTTGCACTCTGACTGAGTTGAAATAGGCGTGAGAGTAAAAAAGATAAGTAGCGCACAGTATTAGCAGCAGCATGATATACAAAAGTCTGGCAGCATGAAGTCCCTTTGTCACTTTCTGTTTCTACATCTTCCATGTATGAAATTGTGTCACTGTAGCAATAAAAGTACTTTAGCATTGATACGGTGGTGGCACTCTTTCTTTTTCACAAATGTACATTTGGTTTTCTACTGTACGTCATGCTGTCTAAATATTAATGGAAATAGTGTGGTCACCTAAAGATGGATATAAATAGTGGTGTATGACTTTCCTTAGTACTGGATGCTAAATTAGTCAAGATATTTATTCTGTTGTTGCTGGGAGGTCATGGATTCTTTTTTCCCAGGCACGTTTTTCCACTAACGTTAAGTACACGTTTACACACACACACACACACATAATCACACACTACAGTATCTCTACCTGATTGTTAGTCTCATTTAACCTCACTGCTGCTTTATATTGTTGGTGGTCTTTAAAATATTGTTGGTGGTCTCTTTTTGTCACAAATTCCACCATGAGTCTTCTTATTCCATCAACATCCTGAACATTGTGTTTCGATTAAATATGTTAAATATTTGGCTGATTGACCAATCCATAGTTTTATTTACTTCTTTGTTCATGTTTGCTTAGAATGATGGCTTATCTATCACAATTTGCCTATAAATCTCAAAGGAAAATTTAATAAAAGTATACGTTTTTCCCCAATTAAACAGTAGAGGTGGGGAAAAATGAATCACAATACTAATCATCTACAATTCTGAATCGATTCATAAACTTCAAATATAGTCTCTGTATTATCATTCCTTTCTTCTCTTTGCATGTCCTTATGGGCTTCTGCCCACAACTTCTGGCATACAGCTCTTGCTATGAACAGGAGCTATGGGGGACCAAGAATTTCTGTCGGTCCCATCTTCATTGAAGGCACAGGTCTGGGCTCATTTTGGATTTTATCATCTCCCTGGGGAAGAACAGCTCGACATGTCATTCAGTATGCAAGGTTTGCAAAATGAAAGTGAAGTCTTTTCGAAACAGTACAGATGCTCATGCATGCATCGCATTCTACCACCCAGAGTTAAAAGGAGCAACCCAGGCCTTCGTTACATTCGCCGCTAACTACGTCACTGGCAGCTTGAGTCTTGTGTTTTACAGATGAGGGTACAGATGATGAAATGTTTCACTCTGTCGCCGATGAATGGAAGCTAACGCTCGCAGAATAAATTTGACCTAAATTCTTACCTTTATGATAGAGAGGAAAATGCAGCTAGCCTAAGCTTTTATTTAGGCAACCCTTTTGTCCCTTTAATCATTTTGTCTGAAGTTTACCTTTGTGTTTACATCATTGGAATCAGTTTATTTGAAAGTTCAAATACAATACATTCGTATTACAGACTGTATAATAGTGTAATCTGTCTCATTGACACACTAAGTAGTCATTTTGAATCGAGAATCGTTTAAATCCATTTTTAATCGAATCGCGACCCTGAGAATCGGAATCGAATCCTGAGATACCCACAGATCCACATCCCTATTAAACAATATATTTAGGTCATGATCTTTAATGTAGACATACTTGATAACTATATTCTGCTAAATTAAATCAAAATTCAAGTGAATCTAAAGACTTAGTTTTGTTTAGACTGTCTTGGTTTTATCTCTGTGCATTATGAAATGGGCTCTAGTGTACTTGCAGAGCGTCAGCCATGAGCCAAGTTCCCATCAAAGAGTGGCTGCTGCACTAAAGGCTGTGTTTAGATGTGATGGCTAATTTTAGAGCTGCTAGGCCCTTGTCCAAGGTGGAGGAGGATAAGATAACATTGAAGCCCTCCCTCTGTAACATTGTTTGATTTTGATTGTCCATCCAGTAAACCTCCTCCAGTTGCAGCCATCAGCCTTTCATTCTATTGTTATGGTGTTTTTTTTTAAAGACAAATTATGTTTAAAAATATAGTTGTATTTAGGGTTACTGGCTAAAAAATAGGTTTTATGGATTGGATAGCAATAGCACTTTGTGTCGCTCAACAGAAGGCACCACTTTTCCAGGACAAAACTTTTAATGTAAGGGATGTAAAGTAATTTCTGCAACAATATTTTAATTAGAAAGGTCACAGAGACGTGTCTTCCAGCATATTCAACTAGTATGTTGGTTAAATTGTACACCAGGTTGATATCAATATTTGTAATACATCATCCAAATTTTAAAATTTGAATTAGTAATTTCCAAAAAAACCAAAACAATTCTTTTCATAAATAAATATGCCTTTGGTTAAGGAAACCACTCGAGAACAGCCTAAGATGTGTTGGCACACACGGAGCATCTTTGGTCCCTATTCATCAGTTTCTCACCATAATGGCAGTGATAATGGACCTTATTCTTGTTTGTTTGTCATAAAGGCATCTGATTTCAGGAAAGTATGTCCCAAATGTCTGAGGATCTCTGAGTCAATAGTTTATTCATTTGTTTTTTTGCCATAAATATGATTTACACACACACCTACATATACACACCAAACCAATACCAGTCACGCTGTTACAATTCTATGTCGCCTGCATAGCATGCCAAACCTATACCCAGACCATGTGGCAAAGCCGTCCCTGTCTGGCCCCACTCCCCTATTGCTCCCGCAGCTACAGAGCAGTGACCTTGGTTTCAAGTAGCTGTACTCTGTTAGAAAACCAACACCTCTCATGGGATGGTCTGACCTTGTTGTCTGACACACTGTAAGTCTGCACGCCCCTCTCTGTCTTATCCTGTTATTTTGTCTCACACACATTAACATTAACTGTATAAACAAGTCATTCTGCATTGACTTTACTGTTGGAAATCGGCACATTGTATTCTAGCAGAGCAGATCTTAGAGTAGATCTCGCTTGGTGTTTATATGCAAATTCAAAATAAATAGGGTGCAGCAGGTTCAGACATCAACCTAACCAGGTGTTTTTTCATCAGACAACCATCTCCCCTCCCAGTGAAAACACTCTTTTATGAAGGCTTTTTTGTAGCAGGACACACTGTTGTCCCCTCCCTTTATCTATCCAATTGCCTTTGATTCTTTGCAGCTGTTCAGCTGTGGAGTGCATGAATGGGTCCAGGCATGTATTCTGAGTATACTGCATATCCATTTCATCTACTATGGGGAATTTTTTTTGTGATTTCCTGAACATGGCTGCAGTATATGGCCAGAACAGCATCACATGGCTATCAAAGCATAACACAATTGCTTACTTCTGAGGCCCTTTTTATATCCACCTGTGATAGAAGTTGTTTTACACTGTTTTCAATTTAAATCAAAAGATCAGCTGTATACCATCTTGTCAGAAAAACCTAAATGCAGTATTTGTGCAAGTGTCTGAACAGAGGTTATCTTACCAGGGTATTTGTTGCACAAGAATACTTTGAGTTTGAGAGCTGCTTGTGGTTGGACCCCCTTAGACAATAGGTTAGATACATAATGTCCCATTAGTTAAATTACTTAAATAAACATACAGATACAGGGCATAGAATGTTTAACATTAATAAATATACGTATATATATATATATATAGAGAGAGAGAGAGAGAGAGTAATGTGTGCACAACTGCTATATATGTGTAGTTGTGCATATATATATATATATATATGTGTGTGTGTGTGCACAACTACTATATATGTGTAGTTGTGCACACGTGTGTGTGCGCACAACTAATTCCAAGCCAGTTAGAAAGAAACGCTCTCCTGCCCCTTGCATACTGCGTTGTGAAAGCCATGTAAAAATACCCGCTCATTGGTTTTGTTAAGGTTACACGTAGTTATGTCTGTGTGCGCCAATGTCGTGTGCAGAATTAGGGTTGGAGCCAATAACCAGCCAGCACAACAGCTGAGGAAGCAGATGGGATTTGACTTAACTCTTCCTCTGCCACAGTGTCCTGCTGGCCTTCTTCCCTGAACCTGTGTTGTACCTCTTTATACAGTAGAGTGATAAGTTTGTTTGTACCTGCTTGCATGTGAATATGTGTGCAATATTAGGCAAAGAAAACAAAGCTAGAATTGAGCTTGAATGTATCCACCGTTCCATTACAATAATAAGTTTACTTAAGTGTGTTGATGTGTTAAACGCTCCAGATGAAAATGGCCCTAAAGTACATTTAACACCAAACCGAGGCCAGCGCAGGCTTGTCAGACATCTGAAATTTTCTGTTTAACCAGGCAAAACTGCGTTAGGGATATCTGCAATACATATCCAGCTTAGCGTTTAAATGTTAAAACCGTTTGCCATAAGTACCAACATGTCAGCGGTGTGGAGGTATTTCAAAATATCTGAGAAAAACCCCTAGATAGCGATTTACAAAACATGTGATGCTGAAATTTCAAGAGGAGGGGAAAAGTAGTACTTATTTTCACAGTCTGCCAGCACACGTTTCACTGAGATCTATTCGGATCTCCTGCACTCGTCACAACTGTACTTCATTTGCGATATAAAGATCATTATGCACGATAATGGTACAGGACACTATGGACGCAGAGACGGAGAAGCTCACAGCGCAGCAGAAGGAGTGGAGTGTGCCAGATGAGGGGCAGGCAATCTCGTTGTCTGATATGTTCTGTTAAATCCTGTAAGAGTGTCTCAAATAATAATAATGTGCAAGCTACTCTGTTCTGACTACCTATGTGACCAACATTTGATTTTATTTCCTTGCTAAACATTTGACAATTAATTAGTTTGACAATTATTAATTTATGCAATCACAGTGCCTTGGTTTTATTGAGGCTTAGTACACAGTCATAGCCATAAATGCAATGATACTAATAACTGGCATAATAATTTCTTTCGGTGTTTTCAGTTTTGGACAAAATTTCAATTTCGATGCATCACTAGTTTAAGTTGGTTGTCTTGGTCATTTGGCTAACTGTTTGGTCTACAGAGGTTTTCTGTGGCAGTGAACTTGCTATAGTGACAGAAGTGATTTGTTTTTGCACAATTTCTGTGTAACCACTAAGACTGATGTTGATCAATTTTAGTGTACTAGACATTTGTATTGGTTAATGTTTTTGGTACACTATGTATTTTTCCCCCTGGTGTTTATTTTTCTTTCCTGGGGTAGGTGCACCTCTTTAATTCCATAGGTCCATACGGCATTAAGTTTGTCAGTACACAGAACTACAGAGTTAATAACAGAGTTGTTTCGGTATTTAAAGGTGTGATTCTGGGATGTGAAGTGACTCGTGTTATTGTTGGCTGCAGTTGATGACTGACGCAGCTGCACACAATAGGTAAGATGAGATGAGATGTCTGACCATTATACGTTTACTAGCTAGCTAGGTAATTGTTTCTTATTTAGTTTATACCTCCCTTTATCCTGCTCTCTTTTATACCCTTTTACAAAGTACAGCTCTACTGTACCAGCAAGTCATTCAGTGCACCATCATGTATTTATATTTATTTATTTCCTAACAAATTCATTTAATTTCATCAGTGATGATAAAGCACAACCATAAGCCAAAATTCCTTCCTCATGTAATTGTATTTGGATCCTAAACCAATGTACTTGTTGTACCTGTAACCTTGATGGAATATCAGTAGCTATTTTGTCTGTGAATTAGGATAGAAAGACGATGATTCTAAGAGACAACTGAAATAATTGGCCATTGTTGTGTTTTAGGTTTATGGTTCTCTGTCTATGTTTTTCTGTTCTCTGCTCCTCTAGACTTTTGATAATTACCAGCAGTTCATCCAAAAAGGGATGTCATATCACAAGCAGGTCAATTGATATATTGAGGTCATAGTGTTGAGTGAATGTTTGACCTAACAACCTAAGCAGCATATCTTTTGTATCAATGCTGTTTAGAATCTTCAGTTACTACTGTTTGGCCTCAAAGTGCTTCATGCATCTGGTGCATGTTACTATTTGACTGTTGTTGCGTGTCTGCTGTTCAGACTAAAAGCCTCTCTTGTGTATCATCGCTGCATGTCTGCAGAGTGATTTCTTTTAGTGCTTTATCTTTCCACATCTGTCATGATACAACCCAATTACTTTTAAAAAATACAATGACTTAATTTAAATGAGCTCCCCTCTGGGGTCTTTTGATTTGCCCTGAGTGTTCTTAGTGGTGCAGATAGGCAAGCAGAGCAGTATACAAAATAAATGGAGTAAGAGGCTGTTGTTAAAAATGAAATAAAAAGATTGGTGTTTTCATTGATGGAGCCGAAGTTTGCCTTTTAATGGATTTAACTCCTCATCCAAAGACATTTTTCGTAAGTCAGCAGGTTGATTCTCCCGTAGTGTCTGCTTTTTATCACCTATATAGGGCTTTTACTAATCCTTCAGGAAAGAGTCTGTTCTGCCGTTCTTGCGTAGTAAGTTCAGCTATGTCTGCTCATGTATTTTAAGCATTGCCTCGTAGCATTTATGACCTGTGAGCCAAAATTTAATGACACTGTTTTCATCACCTCATAAGTCACCAGAGTTTGAAAACAGTTGAAGAAAACTGAGTAAAAATGCAAGTATTGGTCATTGTTTATGAATCCACTCATAGTTAGTTCTATTTGTAATAGAATACTTTGGTGAATAAATACAACAAGCAAATACTTGTTTAATCAGTTACTATATTTACACATACTATATTTTAAGCATATTCCTCAAATTTTTACTTCTCTTTCACATTTTTTCTTTTTTTTTCTCTACCAGAAGGAAGAGTGACTCATTCTTATCCACCCTCCCATTAAGAGCATTTGTGTGCTAGAGAATCTAGCAGCATGTTTAGCGTGACAGTGATGTGTTCATATTAGACACCAGAGATTTAACTGAGTGCTTCTCTTTTCTTTGTTCTGCTTCCTTTCCTGCTGTTTCTGCTCGTGGTCATGTATAACCATTAAGGCATGACTAGTGAAGTACGTGGCTGACCAGTGCACAGCAGGTGTATATAAGTATCATACATACCTGTACTGGTATACATACCAATGCAATCACTGCATCCCTAACACACACAAAAAAAACATTTAGGGGAAGCTGTCATGCCATGTATTTAATAATTGCTTGAATGAAATGGGTTGGTTTTTTTTAAATTAGTGAATAAATGAGTGTATTGTGACAGTGTAGGATAAAGTTAGCTCTTATATTTACTAAGATTTGTGTTAACTCTGAAAATCAAACAATTATGTCTGTCTTCCTTTCCCATCTACTAAGATTTGTGTTAACTCTGAAAATCCTTTCCTTTCCCATCTTTTTTTCTCTGATTCACAGCTGTGGCCTTGTCTAGAGTGAAATACCCCGTTTGGCAACATGGCTCCATGGCTGGAATTGTAAATTAAAATTCCAGATTTTTTTGTGCAAGTCCTCCACAAGATGTGGTTCATTGAGTTCAGCCCTGGTGTAGATATCAGACATTTACGCCTCTCCTTTGTTTTCCATTCAGACTAGATAAGCTCTAGTTTCATCATTGATCTCAGTTCCATTTTTTCCTCTGGATATGTTAGTGACCTCAAGCTCAATTCACCTGTGCCCTAGTTGGCATTGTATTCTCCAACCTTCCAGTGCAGTGGCTCACATAACCAAACAGGGCGAATTACAGAGAAAGAAGGTCCTGCATAGCAGTGGAATAAAGCATAGCACCTGTCACTGAGCCCTAAGTGGAACAGAGAGGACAGTGCTTTATCAGCAACCCTTTCTTTCTATATTTCTGTGTTGTTTATAGCATTTTAGTCCACAAATGTACTACCCAGTGTAAATAGATTTCAACAAAAAAATTTGGCACTCCATAATTAGCAATCTCTATCCATATTAACACCAAAAGAGATTTTATCAAAAGTAAAGTAAGCATCAATCAGTATTCTTAGTAAATCAAAACAATTACCATTTGAATTTGTTTGTGAAGTTTACCATTGTAATTCAGTCGAAAGCACTTGTGTTTCTCTGCATATGGAAATGTATTAAACATTTTCCTTATGTTTGGCTAACATACTTTGCACATGCAGTTTGTAGAAGCTGCATAGGCTGATCTACAACGTCTCAAGCACTTCAGTGGTGAAATAAAGTAGTATTTATCATAGAGATATTCTTTAAAGTGTACATATATTACCATTTTAAAATGTAATTTTAGACATTGCACTGCAAGAAACCAAAGGGCAGCAGTGCTCCTAATGGTCCCATTGACACAGAGACAGAAATGTGTCTTTAACAACCTTCCAAAAATATAAGGAAGCCAGGACAAAGGTGCTGCTTAACCACCCATTATAGTCCAGTCCTTGATCTCTCTTCCAGAATGAGGTTCACTTATTTTAGATGTTGCTCCGGTAGACCAGAATTGCATGTTAATAAATAAACATCCCCTTTCCTCTTCGGACTTGGACTTGGACTGCTGACTTGGGTCCAGAAGGTTAGAGTCCACCAGCTGCCAAGTTACCACTGAGGTGCTCTGAACGTCCCCACACACTTAAAGCTGCCCACTGTTCACTTTGGTGATGGGTTAAAAGTAGAGGTCATATTCCGTTGTGTGCAGTGGTGTGCTGTGTTCAGAGTAGTTCACTTTCCCACTTTCCTAAACATGACAATTGACATCTTGTAACACAGGAAATACAAAATTATTGCAGAAGTCTGCTCTTGGTTTCTAGTGGATAGAAAGTGCAGTCGGTAACCCAAATTATTAGTTTTAGTTGCTTTAATTTGTATTTTTACAAAGGTGGTATGTTAATAGGCAACTAAGAGTAGACATGGCCTGTATGTGGACAGTAATGAAATATCTCATGCCACACATCTAACCTTCAATGGTGGGATAATGTGAACTGTCTGTACTCAGTGTGTGCGTTTAATGTTTCTTTGTACTTGAGGTTTTTCATGCGCTCAATGCACTTCTTGTATTCCCGTAACTTTATAGTCGATACCACTGTGCTTTATAACCATTCTTTGCTCAGCGAATTGCTTTGTCTAATACAGATCTTAGTCTCTGTTCCATAAACCAAAGCACACAGGCTGGGTTGTGTCTTTTGTATTAAACTTTAAAAAAAAAAAAGTTGATAACATTAGTCTTTCACCCTAAATGTCCTACAGGAAATATTGAGCTGGTCAGAAGAATAATTCTGAGTAAAGTAGTTAGTTAACTTTATCTAGATAGTTTATCTGGGAAAGATAGGGAGTGTGGAACTGATCTGGGCCTGAGTGTTATAAACCATTGTGGTGTCATTTAAATGTCATGGATATATTAGGTTGATCTAATTCATAAAAAACAAGCAAGCTGCATAAAGGAAAGCAGAATGAGTGTTATGTTGTTGGCTGCCTGATCTGATGAATCTCCTTAGCAACACGTGAATCCATGTGTTCGTACAAAATCTTTCCGCTTCAATGTGTGCCTTGTTACCGATTAAATAATATATTAGTTTGTTTCGTACATTAGTGTGTTACGAAATCAAAAAGGCAACATCACCATCGTGTACTTTTTTATTTGACTACCCCAATGTGAGCATGGGTGACCATCTTATAAACAACAACCAAACAAATAACAAACCGACTTATATATCCAACTAACTGATATAAGTAATAAATCCAGAATCGGTAAATCCTTACCAAGTCCATAAGGACAACCTACAGCACTTTGTTTGACAAAAACAGTCAAACCTCTGAGTAACAGCATTTTCACCACAACTACTGTGTGCTACCTGGTTGTCATTACCCTTTTTTTACTCCTGTTTTATTGGTGGCTGGCAGCCAGTCAGGAAGAGTGCGAGTTGTTGAATATGAAATGGATTTTTGATTGACAAAATTCTTCATTTCTGTCAATTGTTGTGCTCTGCATTATGCTGTTCAGTTGCACCTAATGTGAAAATCTTATAGGAACATAAACTGTACAACTTAGGTCTGGCCATAAGGTGGTTTTGGTTAACAAAACCTAAACACCATTAATCCGAAGAAACATATCAGCAGTAAAGAAGTTTGAGTAATAAAGGAAAGGTAGATAAATAAAAACCGCTGATTGTCCAGGTTCAGGCCCAAGCCAGTACATGAAGATGTACGTCCGTTTCCTCAAGCTGGTAAGTGTGTGTACTGAGACACCAGGCAGTCATTGAATGGCTGTCCACAATGCAGAAACGTGAGCCTGAATAAATGTCACATGCTCTCAGATTATCTTCCCAGGATGTTATTTTATGCAGTGAGGATGTTTGAAATGCCAGTCACAGACGCGGTGCTCCTCCCCCATTCTTTCTCCCACACACAGTCTTTTATATTGTATTGTTGAGCAGCAATGGAATAGCGCAGTGTAGCGTTGCAGAGCTTCGTAACAGCATCCCATTTTGCTTATTTAATTATTTATTCCGTTATTTTTGGAATTATCTTTTAATTCATAAGCTGTAGGCACATGAGGACACTGACGCACATTATGACAGTGTGGCCCAGCAGGGCAAGTCATGAGCTTTTCTCACGGGGACATCTTAGAAGCTGATACACAGCGCAACGATGCACACCATACTGCCTGTTCCTTCAGACCCTTCTCTTTCCTCAGTATTTTGTAATATGTGTCTCCCTTTTCTCTTCCTTAATAGGTATCTTGATCATCCATCTCTTTTCTTGAAAGATTTTTGAATGAAGACAATGTTTCTTCAACTCCTTTTTCCCTTATCTCACAAAACAAAACACAACCAACAATCATCCAGCCTTCGTAGCAAACCAGTAGAGATAAGCCATCAGAGGCAGGGAGGAAGATTGAGCTAAGCCAAGGCATCGACAGGAGTAGAAAGACCCTGCCTGGGTGAAGGCAGCTAAATATAGAATGCCTCATTGGAGCAGTGATGAAGTTGCAGGCCAAATAGGAGAGGAAAACAAGGAAGAGAAGAAATAACTTTCCCTTTCACTACTTCACGTGCAGCTATTTCACTGATTATCTGTGTTCTTATAAAGGGTATGCCTTGTTTAGGCGTGTATACTTTGGAATTGTTATTAGTTTTATTAGTGTATGGGGACTAGTGATATTAGTGAAGAAGGAGCATTTTTTGTCTTCAGCTTCAGCAGCAAGTTTATTATTATTTAGATTTTTTGACATTGCTCTCTGTATCTCTGTGTTACACCTCTGTGTATTTTTGTGTACTCCATCCCTACAAATATTTGGCTTTGGGTGAGAGAAACCTCCCCTCATATAAAACCCATTTCATAAAGATAGAAATGGCATCCTGTGTCTGGTGGTTTCCATATCCATCCCAACATATAAGTATGTATTTGTGATTTGCCTTTGTGTTGAAAATAATGTTTAAGAGCTAGCCAATCAATGCACAAGGAAAAAAAACATGCCACAGCAACCTCAGTAAGCTGCAGGCAGATGAGTCTGTCTAGAAGTTGCTGGAATATTTTCTGCTGTACATTGGAGTGTTTGTATTTTAAATTTTCCCAAATGTTTAGGGGTTTACAATTTTTGTTTTTGGATATGTGAGACCTCTAGTTAAAACATTTCATCAAATGTAATTTTATAATGTGAAGTTATGTCTTTGTTTTGTTTATATTTTTAAAATGAAGGATGAGCATGTATGTCATAGAGGTTATAAGTATATTTCTATGTGTTGTTGAGGTTGAAAGTGTTAAGATTATCTTTCTGGATTTTCTTTTGCTTTATTTCCTAATATAGTTCTATGTGCACAGAGAGCTTGCTATGTTACAATGTTAAGGGAATGTTGTACGTCCTTTTCCATAGAAAACAGTACATGGTGCATCTCATTTCACCCTCTAGGTTACTACCAAAATGATATACACTATTTGTTTTAATCGGTCTAAAAGAGAAATGCTGCTGTTCTGGTGGCTTCAGCACCTAATAAACTGGTGATCAGAAAAAACTCTGGTTAAAGGCTTTAACAGATGCAATACGTCGAGTACATAGTTGACCAATCACAAGAGCTGACCATTTAGAAAAAAGAAGAAGTATACTTTGGTGCAAGTCATTGAAAAACAAGTAGCATTTCAGGGTGAAAAAAAAGAATCTGCAGCAATTTGCCTTGAGAGACAAATTTTGCTTTCTAATCATGACAGCATGCAGGAAATCCAAAACAGCCTTTTAATCTGTCCTAACATTGGCTGTGTCATGCAGATAAGGCTTTTATGGCATTGTGGCAGCTGCAGCAGAAAACCACTACCTAATTCTATTGATAACTAAGCTTTTTGTATTCTTTATGTATTAAGTAAGTACAGGCCATTGGCTA